ATCACTCAGGCTACAGTGTGAAGGTTGGTTTGGAAAGGAAGCAACATTGGAAGCAGAATTACCCTTTAGAACACTGTTGCTTGAGTGCAAATGAATGATGACACTAACCTGGAGCTGGGGATAGGGCAGGAATGGGAGAAAAGGAGGAACTTGAGGATTTCTATATATATTCTAGAACCAATGAGGCTTGGTAGTAGATTGAATTAGAGAAGGGGAGTAAGATAGAGCAATGTGCTTAAAATACTAATGTTTGCTTTTTCTCTGCACTCATGACACCTCTCTTAGAATCACCAGTGGTCCCTTCTTCAGGAAAATTCTGATAAACACTCTTTCAATGGTAGGGGAAAGGACTCAGGGCATGAGTGCTGAGTGGAGAGAGGAGTTGGCATCAGAGCAGAAGAGTCTGAAGAGAGCAGTGCTGAGACCAAAGGCATGGATTTTAGGCAAATCAAGGAGAGAGAAAGGGTAGAATTTTGCCTTCCTTCTGTTGATGGGCAGAAGGACCAGGGTCTCGTGCCTATCTATACTGCCTCAAACCTTTCCCACTTCACTACCTGGAGTAGGTTGTTCTCTTCTCTTTCTGATTTTCTCTCTCTTAATTTCCCTTCTAAGGCTGGTTCTTAATAACACATGAGCCTGGACTCTACCTAAGAAACCATCAAGGAAATAAGTGCTCAGCCAAGCTCAAGAGCTCACTTGAGTTCTCATGATAAGTTCTTGGCCAAGGAGGCAAAGGTTCCCAAAAAGGAACCGTGATTATCTCATCCAACTCCCAAGTCTGTCTCCTTGTTGTGGCAGAAACAAGGCAAGGCAGGGTTGCTTGGGAAATTTATGTGTGCAACCCTTTTTCTCCTTCAGCCACATTCAGTGCACCTAAATCATGGGTGTTCTCCCTAACCACTTCACTGTGGAAACCTTAGTCCCAGAGCTCAATTTTGTCCTCATCCTCTTGGGCTACTTTCCTGCAGACTTTCTCTGCACCTCCAAACTGCCAACTTCCCCAAAACCTAAGCTATAAACTGAGAGTCAGCCAACATTTTCTCCTTTCCCTCAATCCCCACATCCACTAGAACTTCAGTCCAGTTAATTCTCCTGAAACATCTCTTGAATCTGTCCATTTCTTTTAGCCCTCTCTAGATTGCCCTCCCCCCTTACCTGTATCACACTGGTTTTTCTACCTCTAATCTGCCCCTTTCAAATCTTTTCTCTGCATGGTGACAGCTCATGGGATATTTCATAAGATTATTCCCCTAGTTAAAATCTTCCCTTAGATCCTTATTGCCTTTGAAATACAACAAAGTTAAAATTCTTTGTCATCATTTTCAAAACCTGTCTTGTTCTGTCCCCTGCCTATTTTTGTTTCACACCCTCCCACTACAAAAAGAAAAGAAGAAGCTCGTATTACATTTGATGCACCTACTAAGAACTAACCATTGTCATTTTTACCACAACCCTGCAAAGTAGGTCATGATTTTCCTTTTTACTAATGTGGCTCAGAGAATTTAGTTGACAGTGGTTGAGCTAGGATTTAAATCTATGTCTATCTGACCCTAAATAATTTATTCTATGCTGGCTACTTCCATGCCCACCAGAACCCTTGCTCCTTATTCAGACTGGCAGCTCCCTCTCCATGCCCAAGGCATCTGGAGTGCTCAGCTTAAAGCCCTACATCTCCCATTATCTCCACATGACCCAATGACTTCAGTCTTGCAAATGAACCCCCAGGTCAAATCTGCCTCCTCTATGAAGTTTTTCCTGAGTCAACCTCTCCACCTGAACTCAGCTTTTCACAGAGCACATTACCTTGCACTCCTCCTGTGGCTTCAGTCCCTCTGTGCCCTTTTTCTTGTGTTCATGTCTTAAAAACAGAGCCCAGAAGCTCAATGCAAAAATCATTGACTTCAGTGTCAGACAGAACTGGGTGCAAATTTTAGCTCAGCTACTTGCCCACCATGTGATCTTAGACATGTGATTATCCTCCCTCACCTTCAGCTTTCTCCTCTACTAGAGGCCCAGTGCAAAAAATTCATTCACGGGTGGTGGTGGGGTGTCCCTCAGCCCTGCCTGTACCCCCTCTAATCTGAAACCCTTCAAGGAATGTCCAACTGCCCGTTTAGGCCTGATCCTAAATGGGCCTAAATGGGCAGTCGGACATCCCTCTCACAATCCAAGACTGCTGGCTCCCAACTGCTCACCTGCCTGCCTTCCTGATTGCCCCTAATCGCTTCTGCCTGCCAGCCTGATTAACCCCCTAACCACTCCCCTACCAGCCTGATTAATGCCTAATTGCACCCCTGCCAGCATGTTTGCCCTTAACTGCCCTCCCCTGCAGGCCTGGTCACCCCTAACTGCCCTCTCCTGCAGGCCTGGACACTCCAACTGATCTCTCCTACAGTCCTGGGTCACCCCTAACTGCTCTCCCCTGCTGGCCTGATCACCCACAACTGCCCTCCCTTGCAGGCCTAGTCCCTCCCAACTGCCCTCCCCTGCTGGCCATCTTGTGGTGACCATCTTGTGTCAACATGGGGGCAGGATCTTTGACCTCATGGCGGAAGCCTCTGCATATTATAATACTCTTTTATCTTATAGGATACTATGGAGACAATGATATTACCTTGCATAGTGGTTGAAAGAAATTTAGAGACAAAGTATATAAAATGCCCAGGAAGGGCCTGGCACACACTAGGCTCTTAGAAAATGGTGGCATTATGTTTCACTCTGTGTGACTTTGAGGATAGGGTTTGTGTGGTCATCACTGTCTCCCCTAAAGGCCCCAGCCTGGGGATATTCACAAAGTTCAGAAAATGCTATTAGCATGCCCAAGTGGTGGAAAGCCTAGCTGCCCAGCTTCTCACTCATAGTCCATGTGGGACATGTACATACCACTTAATTCCAAGTCTCCATCCAAGAATAGAAAAGTTGTAGAGGAGAACAGGGACATCCCCCAGAATACCAATGAGCTCTATGTCCCTGGAAATCCAGCCTAAGGAAGCAGCTGCTGTGGAAACCACTGCTGTCACATGTGCTCATTATTCTAGGCTCCAGAGAGAAATGCTCAATATTTATTTAAGAGTCTTCTCTTCTTCCCCCCCCACCCACTCTCCTCCCTACCTTTCTTTCCTGACCCCTTGCCCCCTCATTTCTTTCTTATCTCCACCAGTGTTTCTCTATTCCCTTGCCCCTTTCTAGGTCTGTTTCTTACTTTCTCTCTCTCTCTCTCATGATTTCTGTCTTCCCATTTATCTTCATCTCGTATCTCTAGTCTTCTATCTCTTGGTCTCTCCTCCACAATCACAGGTGGCCATGCCAAGGGACAAGTCCTATTCTCCTTGTCTCTGGTCCAGACCTGTCCAGCTCACCCTGATCTGCTTGTATTGATTTGTCACCCTCTCTAGACTGCAGCCTGAGTCCTGCTGGTGACTTGGTCCCCACTCACAGTGGCACATTGTAGGTGCTCCACCACCCATGATGAGTGTGTCAGAGCAGATAAGAACATGAGCTTTGGATGAGAGGGTAATAGCACTGATTGAGGCTTGGCCTGTTTTCCTTTCCTTTTTTTTTATTTTTTTTATTTTTTATAAGCCCTCGTCACTCTCCATCTTCAAATTTTATACAAAGTAAATTGCTCAGCTGTGACTGCCAGGGCATTACCATGGTTACTGGGTAGCACTTGCGGCTATGGTAACAGGAAACTGCCTTCTGTCTCAGCAACAAGAACATTGGTAGAGGATGGAATGACTTTTGATTGGTGCAAAAATAGTGCATGTGCTGAGAGGAGAGAGCCAGATCATAACCTTCTCAGGCTATCTGGGTATCAGTACTCCTTCTCCATGACTTGGAAGGCTGCTATTCTTTCCTTCTGGCAATAAAGCTGTCTGTCTCAACAATAATTCATCACACCCTATGCACCCAGTTCTTGGCCATTTACAAAGACCTTTTGTGCCCCCATTATTTCATGTGATCCACAACACCCATGAGAAGAAAGTGAGATGGAGATTCAGTCATGAATTCTCTCAGGGTTATTGGGGAATGGGAATGTGTGGAGTAGAATATATTTACATCACCTAAGAACTTGTAAAATCCCCCAGCCTAAGAATCTGATTTGGTTCCCAAGTGATTCTTATCCACCCCTGATCAGGAAACCCCTGAATTAGGAGGTAAAATTGGTTGGGGCGGGGGTGGGGGGGAGCGGAGGAAGGATCAAGCTGTTTTGGGGGTTTATAGCTTAGATGACTGGAAGAATCAGATTTGGGCAAAAAGATGAACTCTGGTTTTGATATGTCAAGTGGAAGGTGCCAGTGAGACTTTTTAGTGGATACCCAGCAAGCATCTTGGCATGTGGGTCTGAAGCTTAGAAGATAGGTGACTGGATGAGATTATCCAGGGAGAATGAGAAGAGCAGAATGAGCAGGGCTGCAGATGATGCCCTGAAGAATGCCAACATCCATGAGGAAGTGTGGTGACACAAAAACTTGGTAAAGGTTCTCCCCCATTTAACAAGTTGAATAAGAAAGTAGCTTACTGGAAATCATACAACCATTAAATGGCAGAGTTGGGAATAGACAGCATTAAGTCTGTCTGGTTCCAGATTGTTTAATCTAAATGACACAGAATTATATTATATTTGAGGCCACAAATCTACAATATCAGTTCTACTTTCCCACCCAAAGTCTTCAAGGAAGTCTAGGAGCCAGAGGGATAGGCCTCACGTGGTCCCTGCCCAGAGCCCAAGGCAACAGAATCTCATTAGTCTCCGCAGTCTGTCCTGCACTTGCCACTGAACTTCCCAACACCCAACCCTTCAGGTTTTAAGCACCTTGTAAATTCCAGGTTTAAGGAAGGAATCTTAAGAGAAAATATATAATCCCAAATGAGACAGGTGGAGAGCAGAGTTCAAAGGTGCCAGAGCTTAGATCCTAAGGAGTCAGGGATGGAGAAGCCGGGAGGCCCAAGGGCCAGGCAGTCATGCTGACTGGATATGTTGGTCCTATGTCTTTCAGATGAACCGTCCAATCCAAGTGAAACCAGCTTCTAGTGAGGGCCCAGGAGGTAACTTCCCTGCTTGACAAACCTCGGGGTATCACCCAGGTAGGGAATGATGGAACCCCACCTGGAGTCAATTCTACCCATAATTTATTACTAGAACCTCCTTGGGTAAGGGGACAAGTAGGGTCCAGAGTTGCTCCATTCTAGAAACAGTTTAGCCATCCCAGCTCAGACTAAGAAAGGATGAGACCTGACTGGTGTCGCTCAGTTTGTTGAGCATTGTCCTATGCACCAAAAAGTTGCCAGTTCAATTTCTAGTCAGAGCATATGCCAGGGATTGTGGACTCCATCCCTGATAGGAGGTGTGCAAGAAACAGCTGGCAGCTGATTAATGTTTCTCTCTTTCCTTTCCTCTCTAAAAATCAATTTTAAAACCTTAAAAATAAAGAAGAGATGAGGCCCGAGGGTCCCCAGACCCAAAAGAGTCTGGAAAAGCCTAAACAGATGCTGCAGATAGAGGAAAGAGGCTCTTATCACCTTTCCTCTAGAGAGGGTTCATTTCTGTTTTTCCAGGTTCTTCTTTGTTTGAAGAATAAGGCTAGAGTTAGTCTCCTTTTCTAGATTCTTCTGATTGCAGAGAATCCAGTCCACTCTAGGTTGGGCCACTCATTACTTAATTGTAATTGCCTGGCTATTCATGGTCAAAGATGAGATTGATAGACTTTGTAGACCACATTAAGGAATTTGACTCTATGCTGAAGACCATGGAATGACTTTGAAAGGTTTTTAGCTGCACTGTTTCCTGGTGCAGAAAGACCAATGCTCCTTAAGAACAGGTGCGGTTGAAACCTGTGCTTTTTACTTTTTTTTTTTTTTTTACAGAGAGGAAGGGAGATAGATAGAGAGCTAGAAACGTCAATGAGAGAGAAACATCAACCAGCTGCCTCTTGCACATTCCCTACCGGAGATGTGCCCGCAAACAATGTACATGCCCTCGACCGGAATCGAACCTGGGACCCTTCAGTCCACAGACCGATGCTCTACCACTGAGCCAAACCGGCTTCGGCTTACTTTTTTTTTTTTTTTTTTTTTTTTAATAAATCTTCATTGTTCTTATTATTACAAATGTTCCTCTTTCCCCCCCCCTCCATTGCTCCCCTCCACCAGGTTCCCACCCACCCTCTGCCCTTTCCCCACCCCTCATTGTCCTCATCCATGGGTGCACTGTTTATGTTCAGTCTCTTCCCGCACCCCCCTCTCCCCTTTTCCCCGAGAATCGTCAATTCACTCCCCTTCCATACTTCTGATTCTATTATATTCAACAGTTAATATTGTTCATCAGATTTTTTTTAATTTCCTTGGTTTTTAGATTCACTTGTTGATAGTTACGTATTTGTTGTTCATAGTTTTTAATCTTTATTTACTTTCTCTTCCCAAAGAACCCCCTTCAGCAATTCATATAATTCTGGTTTGGCAGTGATGAACACCTTTAGCTTTTTTTTATTATTATTACTGAAGCTCTTTATCTGGCCTTCGATTCTGAGTGATAGCTTTGCTGGGTAGATTATTTTTGGCTGTAGGTTCTTACTATTCATCACTTTGTATATTTCTTGCCATTCCCGTCTGCCTGCATGATTTCTGTTGAGAAATCAGCTGACAATCGTATGGGTGCTCCTTTATAGGTAACTACCTGCTTTGCTCTTGCTGCTTTTAATATTCTCTCTTTGTCTTTTGCTCTTGGAATTTTAATTATGATGTGTCTTGGAGTGGTCCTCTTTGGATTCCTTTTGTTTGGGGTTCTGTGCAATTCCTGGACTTGTAAGTCTATTTCTTTCCCCAGGTGGGGGAAGTTTTCTGCCACTATTTCTTTCAGTTTGTTTTTGATATCTTGCTCTCTCTCATCTTCTGGGACTCCCATAATTCTGATGTTGGTTCACTTGAAGTTGTCCCAGAGGTTTCTTACATTATCTTCAACTTTCTGGATTCTCTTGCCATCTTGCTTCTGTGGAGGAGTGTCTTCTGGCTCTTTATGTTCCAAATCTTTGACTTGATTCTTGCGATCTTCCATTCTGTTTTTAGGACTCTGTATAATATTTTGTATTTCGGACAATGCATTCTTTATTTCTTGTTGAACCCTTATTATTTCTTGTTGATCCCTTATTATTTCTAGTTGATCCCTTTTCATATCCTCATAGGTCTCATTTATTTTATCTGCCTTTTCTAGGAGATTCTTGAACAACCTTTTAAGTGTGGTTTTGAACTCTATATCCAGTCGCTTTTTGTCCTCCATTTCTTTCATTTGTGATCTATTTCCTTGTCTCGGCATTTTCGCAGCTTCCCTGAGTTGGTAGCCTTAAAAGTCTCTGTGTTCTGCCTGGATGGGGCGGAGTTCAGGGTGGAGCCTACAGCCTTGACTTCCATCAACCACGCCCTATGTGGCTCCTGAGTCTCAGTGTTCCTCAGTGTCCTTTGGTACTCCCTGCAAGCACCTCTGAGAGTGAGGTGCCCTCGAGTTTCGCCTGCTACCAAAGAGTCTAGTCTCTCCCCAAATGAGCCCGGAACTGGGGTTCAGTTCAGTTGGAAGTGGGATTGGAAGTGGGGTTCAGAGCAGTCTGGAGCTTTTGTCTCCTTCCCGCCAGGGCAATCCCGAGGCACAGCCAACTGTCCTTTTTCTGCTCGCAATGTGCGTGCCTCCAGGGGTTCTGCCTTTCACCGCTCCTCCGAGTTTCTGCCTTACAGCCCAGTCTCTCTCTGTATGAGCCTGGGTCCCCAGGGTCTGGCCTACAACTGGGGTTCAGTGCAGTCGGAACTGGGGCTCAGCACAATCCGGAGCTTTTGTCTCCTTCCCGCTAGGGCAATCTAGCAGCAGAGTCAACAATCCGTCCTCTGCGTGCAATGTGTGCACCTCCGGGGGCTCTGCCTTTCACCGTTCCCCTGATATTCCATCTCACAGCCCAGGCTCTCTCTGTTTGAGCCTGGGTCCCCAGGGTCTGGCCTAGAATTGGGGTTCAGCGCTGTTGGGTCTGGGGTTCAGCACAGTCAGGAGCTTTTATCTCCTTCCCTCTAGGGAACGCCAGCCAGGCTCTCAGCCGCCCCCTCCTCTCCGGCTCTGTTCTCTCCGCGCGTGCTGCATGTCTCTGTACCTTAGGCTTTTACAGCTCCTCTGCTCTTCCTTCTGGTTTTTTCCTTGCTTCTCATTCTAGAATTTCCAGTCAGTCGACTTTCCCATAGTTCTGGGTAATGTCCGTTTTATATTTTAGTTGTATTTTATTGAAATTGTTGTGCGCGGCTGCGATTAGGTGTTTACCTGTGCAGCCATCTTGGATCCTCCCTATTCCGGATGTCTTATTTTTTCCATGGCGTCAGTTCTTGATGTCTTTCTCCCTTTTCATTCACCTGTAGCCCTCCCTGATGCCTGCTGACTATATTCCTTAGATAAGCCTCTGCCTGCCTTACCCAAGATCAGCCATGGCTTTATTAGAAGAAAGAAGCTTTGCAAGGTCAGGGAGAGAATGGCATCCAAATGACAGACATTTATTGACCTCCACCCATTCTGCATACCCTCTCAGACTTCATGCTCAGAACAAGGGGCTCTGGTAGCTCCATGGTTCTATTGTAGAGTTAATTCCTCTAAAAAAATTCTTCTTTCATCCTTTTAGATTCTCTGACCTCTGGTCTCCAATTCTCAGTTTCTGGTCAAGATGGTATCACCCCTTCTTTGCCTAAAGATATATTACTAAGTTTTCTTCTTCCCCTTCACACAATATCCTCCTTTCCCATATCATTCTTTCCAGACTGGTCTTTGAGAAGTTCCAGGCCACATACCAAACCTCTGGTTTACTTGTCCCAAAAATTTCTGCTTGAAATTCTGTTAGCATCAAGGTCATTGTTGGCCAGCTTCTATGCCCTAGCTACAAACACTATAGTCCCACAGCTGAGAGTATCCAATGGGCTAAGAAGCAGACAGGCTGGGATGCAGTTTATTTAACCATCCAATCAATATCTTCTACTCCATATTAGAAATACAGATGTGAGCAAGGCTGACCCGGCACTTGGCCTCATGGAGCTCTATATCAATGTGTAATTCAGCGTGATCAGTTCTTTTCAAGTCCTGGGAGAACTGTAGGGACGCAAACAAAAGGCACATAATTAGTTAGGGAGGTCAAAATGGACTCCCAGAGGTAGAAATGTTTAAGCTGAAATATGAAGGATGAACAAGAAGCAGTCAGTAAAAAAAGGAGGAAGGGGGTGGGCAGGCATTTCAGTCAAAGAGAATAGCATGCCCAGAGCTCAGAATGTGATGCAACTTGGAACTAAGTTCACAGTGCTGGGGGCTCTCCTGTTGTTTGGAATCCAACACTTCTTGTCAGATTGAGGGCAGTTGCACAAAGGAAGCCTCCATGCTAATAATGCTTCTGCTTGTTTTGGCCCATATGTCCTGGTCATCTGGGCCCCAACCAATAGCACCAGCCTGAGTTTATCATTTTTCTCTTCCTTTTCATACAAGTTTTTCAAGTATCACATCATTGATTAATTCTGTGCATGTAGTATCCCACTTCAATACCTGTTTATATTCAGATCAGCTCAAGAGATCAAGAAAAGCAAATCTGGCCTGAAATAGGTGTGGCAGTAGAATTTATAATTCTAGTAGTTACATGCTACACAGATATTTCTTGACAAGTGATGGGTCTTAAGTAATATATATTCCAAATGCATCCATGGATAATCCTTCATGCAGGTTTTGATGACAAGATCTCTCAATTCCTCCCTGTTCTCACTCCTAGTTTCTAAATGTTCTCTACCACATACTTGAGAGAGAGGAGACATGTGTATTAAGTCTTGGGCCTTTACAATTTCTAAGTATTTTACTACCAACTGATCTGTGTTAGATAATCTTCTGACTAATCAAAATGTGTTCATTTTCTTTTTTTTACATTCTTTTTTAAGTTTAATAAATCTTTATTGTTCAGATTATTACAACTTTTCCTCTTTCCCACCCCCCATAGCTCCCTTCCACCAGCTTCTCACCCTATCCTCTGCCCCTACCTCACTCCCACTGTCCT